CAAGGTTATAGAAGCCAGTATTTCCTGCTATTTACCCATAGCTTGGGAGAAGGGGGGGAGAAGAGAGGGATTCATATCTTTCCCAAGAGTAAGTTAATGCAATGAATTTGACTGGAATTTGAACTCAGCTATCTGATTTCTCAATCCAAACCACAATCCATTACTCCATTGTGCTTCCATATATGAAATATATATATATATATATATATATATATATATATATATACACACACACACACACAAATAAGACTATCAGGGAACAGATGTGGTTTTTATTTTTATATTTAAAAAATAAAAATGTGAATAATTGCTCTTCAAAAAAAAAAATAAATAAATAAAAGTATTTGAGTTAAAATTTTAAAACTCTTACTTGTCAAACCTTAAGTTTATTAAAGAATTATTTAACATAGAGGTGAAAACAAGCCCCGCCACTTAATAAGACTGGAGGAATATTGAAATCTGTAGTGAGAAGTGAGACAATGAAATTGGGAATAACTGATCATGTATGGAGAGAAAAGGGTAGTCATCCGCTCTTGTGCAATGAAGTGAAAATACTAGACAAAGAGGAACACTGGAGAATTAGACATCTGAAAGAATCAGCACATATGCTAGGCTATGAGGATCTCCTTAGTAGACCAAGCAATAAAATAAAGAAATACAAAATTACAGCAAGTCTTGAGCAGCAAAGAAAGAGAAAATCTTCAGTGAGTGCAGTCAAGCATGACAAGCAGTAGCAATATTCATCAGCAGATAGTTTAGGTTTAAGGCTCCAAGTTCTCAGAAAATTGTCCTACAGTACAATAGCCTCTTGAATTAAAGTGCTGATTTGTGAAGTTGGTGACATAGTAATTGTAAGTTCAATCCCTAGGCCAGGCAACGTGTACTTGCATTCAGTGAAAACAGGGTGAGCAATAACTGAGCAGTACTAAAAATAAGAACTAGATGAGATATCCCAAGATAGCAATAATAGTCTACTCCTATCGATTAAATAAAGGGTTCAGTTATGTAGATTACCTGGATCTATATACACCTAATGAAGCCCAGAGGATAACAGCAACAAAAACAAGGACAATAGTCTGAATGTAAATAGTGTAAGTATTTAATAATTGTTTACTATCTCTGTCCAAATGGTCCTTGTGGCCAAGTTGGTAAGGCACGCTGTTCTAAATGGTATGATACAGCTGGAGGGCAAATTTTTCTTTAATATGATTTCTTGAACATTCAGGTTGATAGCCGAAAATATATATTTATTTTTGGCTTACATTTTTCCTATTTGGAGGAAGAAAAGAGTGTAGTAACTGTCTGTAGTGATATCTGTCCCAAGCACTTTCAGCCAATTCGTTAGCCATTTTCAAGGTGTTCCTTGCTAGCATGTTTTCCTGTGTTTACATTCTAAGTTATATTGTTGATAGCATATCAACTACTTATGGGTCATTTAATGCAAAAATTTCATTTTCTATGGAGGTTTGAAGTAATAATATATTTTATTCTGCTTTCACATTTGAATACATGGTAGATGATACTCAGCTTTTGAGCATATACATGTTTGTGTGGATATAATTACTAGGAGGTGGGGATATGTGTGGTTTATGTAGTTAGTTTTGTTGAAGTTATATTTTGGAATGCAGTTCGATTTAAGAAATTGTAGGATATTATATGGATTAATGTCATGAAAGAGTTCTTTCATTTTGGTTATTTGGTTGGTTGATTTTGTTTAATGACATTCAATGCCGAAATAATTTTATGGCTGTAACTAAATATATTTTGAATGAAATTCTATGCCTTCAACTACAGATAAAATGTATTGCTTGTTTTGTTGCTGTTTTATTTTTATTTTTTTTTACATAAAAATGCATTGCTGGTAATTTTACTATGAAAATATATTTTCATACTTTCATTGATTTGTTTGGGGTCTCACTATTTGCCTATATCTGGGACCCTAAAAGGTGCTACCACCCCAGGTAATGGTGGACTTGGGAACAATAACAATTAAGAGGTGGTTTCATGCTATTCAAAACCTTCAATGTCCCAATCAGAGGCTTTGCTGCTGGATGTAGTTTGTCATCATACCCAGGACCCAAGTTATATTGTGTGGCAGTAGTAGTAATTCTAAGCTGCGCCAGATGTGGCATTAATTTCATGTTGAGAGTGTCTTTAAACAGACAGTGAAAACATTACTACCATTGTCAAATAGGGTAAGATTGAACAGTTTTATATGAAGAGCTTCAATTACCTTCTGTCATATTCTGTGAAACACATATATATAAACTTTTATTTGCATTTAAAAAATATAAAGAAATGTAATTTTTAAAAACTAAACAATTTAAACATTACAAAAAAAAAAAAAAAAAAAAAAAAAAAAAAATCAATACTGTACTCAAAAAAGGTTCTAATTCCCAAAATAAAAACTGTATACAAAAGCCAGTGTTTGTTTCTTCATAATGCACAAAACATGTCAGACTGTTTTAGTTCATATCTAAGATGTTTTCAAGGTCAATCTTTGTCATCCAAAATTAACTGATTATGCCATGACTGATCAATAGAAGTTGTGGAGTGTCATGATGACCCTGATCCAAAATTTACTGATTATACAATGACTGATTCCTGTTGGCAGAAAAATTTAAACCTGTAATTAAAAAAATCTTCTAGAAACAATGTAGCCATTATAGAAATGTAAAATTTAATGATTACATAATTGGGTTTTGAAAAAAAAAAATTTATTTAAAGTATAAACTCAGTTCAAATCAATAAAGATTAGAAGGGATATGGAAATGAATGAGATGATACATGGGTTTTGCTCAGCTTGAACCACTGCAGACATCCTAATTACCATTACACACAGAATTAGTGAAGGCCTTGATGACACACATACTGCAAGGACCATAACATTAGATATCTAGAAAACTTTCAAAAAGGTATGGCACAAAGGTTTGCTACAAATGCTCTCCAGCTATGGAATCACTGAAAGGGTTTTCTTTATTATAAAATCCTTCCTAACAGGTAGATCCTTGAAGGTAGTTATTAACAGCCAGTTTTCTGATGTCCTGGCAGTCAACACTGGTATCCCCCAGGGCTCACTTCTCAGACCAACTTTCTTTCTGATTTACATAAATTATCTAATTTGATCATTTGTAAACATTTATGACGATGATACTACAATATACGGGTGCACCTCTAAAAGTCTTGACATTTAGAGATTGGCAGCTGACAGCTATTCAGATTTAACACCAACTTCCCAGTGGGGAAAAAACTGGCTGGTTACATTCCATCATCGCTGATCAGACCCTGAACTACTGCCAGTTACGATGGACAGATGTCCTCTCAAGGAGGGGACATGCTTCAAGAGGATATTGGGCCATAAACTTACATTTGACCTCAAGTAAAATTCCTATATATGATCTATCGCTAAAGATGCAGGTAAAATGATTGGCTTCCTCTACCACCCCAGTAAGTAACTGACTCCTCATATTATCATCTACCTTCGTAAGAGCCATATCAGGCCAAAAATGAAGTACTATTGTCATATTTGGGCAGAATCTCCCAAACCTCACTTTCCAGTCTCAAGTTCAAAAGTGTCACTGAATTTTTGTTGAAGAAAATTCTTCTCCGTATTCCAACCTTTCTCTCACAGGTAGGATGAGGTGAGTTTTTCACTGCCCTGTCACTAGTACCATAGAAAGTGCTCAAACAAACCAGGTCAGATCTTCATGGCTAAGACCTGCCATGCCACTTACATAGTAACAAACCACCCACATTCCCTCTGTATTCCATCAGCGATAAGTTCCACTCAAACAGCTACTTCCCATGAACCACTGCCCTATGGAACAGACTCCCTAAATGATGTTTCCTTGATCACTACAATCTTAACCTTATCTTTCCCTCCTATCCATAAAAACTACCCTTTAACATAACCCTAGTGGCCTCCAGGCCTTGTACAGAATGAACCTTAACTGTAAAAAAACAAAAACACAAAGAAGCAAAAAGGACACAAAACACAAAAAAAGAAAAAAAACACACACACACGCCAAAAAGCAAAAAACACAAACAAGCAAAAAGAAAAAAGATCACAAAACACACAACCACAAAAAATATAAAAGAAAATACTTTTTTTTTATTTTTTGTAAATTTAATAATGGAACTCAAAGAATAAGTATTTCAATTATAAAAAAATCCTGCTGTTTTTTTAAGGAATAATTATCCACATATTTATTTTTTTAAATTCAAAATAAAAATACATTTGCTTTTGAAGCAGTAATTTAAAAAACACCAAAAACTTTTTAGTCTGTTGTAAATTAATTTCAAAAGCAAATAATAAACGAAACCTTTTGCCAAAAAGCAAAAGCCTTTTGGTGAGAGGTTATTTTTAATAAATAAGGAAAATAATTATCACATTTTGGTTTTAAAAATTTAAAATGTATAATTAAAAACAAAAGCAATACCTTTTTAATTTTGTAAAAATGTAAAGTTTTAATTAAATAGGTAAATTTTTAGAATCGTAAATATTTTTTTTAAATTAAAAGAATAAAAATAACAACATTTAATAATTTGATTTTCCGTGGTTGGTATTTTTAATGAAGTCAACATTTTTAAATTTTACATCAAAGGAAAAAAAATCCCATTTTTTTTTTTTTTTGTTTTGTTGAATAATTATCCGTATTTTTGCTAATATTTTTTTTTTAATTTAAGATAAAATAAAAACAATATTTTTTAAAATTACCAATTCGAGCACTGAAAAGGCAGGTAAATATTTAAAAGATCTTAAATTCTTCTTAAAAATAAAAACAATGTTTTTAGTTTTTGTAAAGGTTTGGTAAAGAAAGATAAAGAATTTAAATTTCATATCAAAGAAACAATTTTTGGGGTGTGGAGTAATGAAAAAATAATTATTATTAATATTTTTTTTAAGTTTACCTAAAAACAGGCGGTTTGAAGAATAATCAAGGTAGGTATTTTTAAATTTAATTTATATAAATGTTTTTTTTTATTATTTTAAGACTTACCTTCTTGATGTTCTTCCACGATATAAATAGGAAGTTCACTTGAAGTTAAAGGACTGGCCGGAGTTTTTGTCTTGGGGTGACCACGAGCTGACCCTCCTCCTGGCATCTTCCTGTTCTTGTGGTGGGAATGCTTCTTCTGGAGTCGAAATGTTGACCCGACCGACTTGCTGGATCTTAAAAGAGCTGCATAGGTAAGCACCACCCCACATAGAATAAGCAACAAGAAGAAAGAACCGACTGCCCTTCGTCGGAGTCGACAAATCTTTAAATTACAAAGCATAGCTGTGATTTGCCGAGGTAAAAAGGAAAATCGACGAACAAGAGGCGAAAGCCCAGAGACAGGGGACATGAAAAAAAATAAAATTAAATATCAGGACGAAAAGCAGGAAAGGTTAACGAAGAAAATCAACATTTAGGAGTCTTTTCTTTTCGATTTAACCCCTAAAATGACCCCTGGAATGTTGGTTAATTCATTATTTTTCTTTCTTCTTTTTTTTTCTCTTTCTGCTTTACTCCCGATTGCTTTCTTGAGTCGATGACAATCAACAACAAAACACTTTAACGACAGTCATGGTGCAACTACGCGGAAAGCCGTAAAACGTTCTGCAATCTGTTGGCGAGGAAGAGAAACTATACAAAACATCACTTTTACGACATTCATCTTGTAAATATCGACAAAAGCCGTAAAGCGTTCTGTATCACTTAGCTTGAAAGGATGAAAAAGTATGATAGCCCAGTCTAAGAATAATTTTTATTTTTAAGCCTAGCTTAGCACTTTGCAGGACTAAACTGGAAACAACAGAGAAGACGTGTTTATACTATACAAGCGGAGAAAATTTGCCTATTAAAAAAAATACAGTAACGATAAACATTTGAAGTTCTGACATTGGAAAATATCGGAAATGCGATAAAACTTTTAGCTTAGGTCACAGGTGTGAACAAAGCTGTAACAACAATAACAAGCTTGCTTAATTTCAGGGACTGGTTTGTGTGATTAACCATCACCTACGTTAGGGTCTCGAGAGATTCATTCTTTTTTTTTCTTTTTCTTAAATAAACAAGAAAGCAGTAGATGCCTTCTTTTTGAGTTACGTTACAGAAGAATACCATGAGGGCCTACCGTAGAACGTCTCGGGTTAAAGATGCTCAAACTTTAACGTTTAAGAGACGTCGAATAAATTACAGGTGTTTGACATATTCGCAAGGCATAAAAAGTAAACAAAATTTATACACGCATTTTATTTTAAAGATTTATGTGTTTATTTAGTTTTAGTAAAGTCAAATTAAAGCACACGTATATACCAAATATTTTTAACTTACTTTCTTAACTTTTATTTATACAAAATATTTTTTTACCAATTATTTTACGACGTATATACCAAATATTTTTACTTTAGGCCATTTTAAATAAAACCAAAATTTAACTTCAAAGACATTTAAATTATTTTTTATATGCATTAAAAGTTTAACTTTATTTTGATGCCAGTTCATTATTCTATATCTGTTCTAAAACTTGTAATGTAATACAATAGAACCTACTTATCAAGCTTTCTAATTTCGAAGAGAAATAGTAACATTCTTTTTTTTTTTATTCAATTTTCATTATTTTTATAGGATTGGAGACTTTATCATTCAACCTTTGAAATTTGAAGAAAAATAAATTTACTTATTTTTTATACTAGTTTCATTATGCACTGGTCTAAAATCATGATTTATAGTATTGGTGACCTTATTAATCAACATTGGATTAGAATCCTTTCTCATAAACCTAGCCTTATAATCTTATGATGAATTGTTAGTTTGTGGGATGTAACTGGCTGTCATCTGTCATTTGTAATGTTTGCGTGGTAAAAGTAAAAATAGATCAATATAATAAGTTATAAATTGGCCTGATTTGAACAGTAGCCTGGTTATTGTCTGTCTGTCTTTTTTGAAAAAAAAAACTGAAAAGACCTACTTTCATTTGCTCCACAAGTGTCTCTGAGACAGTAGTTTTTGAAAAGTCCTTTTTTAAATTCATATGTGCTTGGGAAGATTTCTTTAAATTCTTTTCATTTTCTTTTGGCAGGAGAATTTTCACTTGAACTTCAAAATACTTTTTTAGTCTCTCTGCAACAGGCCGGCAAATAGTGCCTTCTTTGATTTTCTCTTGTTGGTGTCAAATGCCTTCTTTGATGTTGACCTGCCTTGTCCCCTTGCTGTCAAAAAGTCTTCTCCACTGACCTGAGCTCTATTTATTCAGAAAATTAGGCTCACAAAGCACCCACTATTTGGAATGTTACTAAAGTTTGAAGCCATGTCTCTCATTGGTCAGTATATAAGGAAACATAATTTTCCATAAACTGGAAATGGATCTTTTACAAATTTGCTGAGCTAAAGAAGAAGTGTAACAATTTTTACACAACCTTCTTGCCTTCAGAAAAATATACTTACTGCCTTCTTGAATTGTTTTCTCTTTTTGTCATTTTCAAAATCCTTGTCTTTTCCCAAACTGTAATTTTTTGATGGTAATTCTTTTTATCAGAAATTGTTATCCTGCCTTAATAGATGCACAAAAAGAAATCTTTATGGAAACTTTGTATTTGTACTTTTCGTAATTGTGTAATAAATGTGTTGTCCTTATAAAATTTTACACAGTATTTGAGTTTTGTTTGGAATTTAGTGCCTATTACAACTTGCTGTTTCTATTGACTAAGTTTTTGTGTTTGACACAAGAACTTAGATTTAGTGGTAAATAAAATTTTTATACTTTATTGTTGTAAAATTTTTTGGTCTGAAGAGATGGGTCCCTGATCCAATGAAATAAACCATTACCTCTGAATTTCTAAGGACTCTGCTTTCATTATTATATTTGCTCTGTTCTTACATTGAGCCCTTTTTGGATTTAGATCCTCACTGGAATTATCCCTACCAATTATCATGTAATATTATATATATATATATATATATATATATATATAATATCGAATGTACACTGATAACATAACTTCAGAATTTTCACATCAAAACACATATCAGAACCAGATATTTGATTGTGCGTTTGTATAAAATAGGACAAAATTTTGAAGAAATATGATAAATGGAAAACAATCTCATTGTAACTAGATTTGATTACGCATTTCATCTTTCTAGGCTTCATCAGATCAAAAAATGAAAGAAAAAATATATGTGTGTGTATGCTTAAATAATAAATCATTAGTACTATTTCTGCTAACTTGGTGTTTCTTTTGATGAAAAAAAAAAAAAAAGGAAAATGAGCGACTTTTAAAAAAGACATCAAAATATATTCTGTATCTTTTCTTTATAATTCTTAGTTCATGTTCAACATAATACATTTATATCCACCCTTATAATTTTTTGTTTATTTATTAAATTCTGATTAGTTCTGAATCCACACCTCACAACCCAGCTATGTGTTAATTATTATGACTTTTTATATCATTAAACTATTATTATCTAAAAAAGAAAAAAATATTCTATCTGAAAATATTTTCTGGCTTTAAATAACCTGCAAAGGGTTGATAAACCTTAGAAAATGAATGAATACTGATTAGCTAAAAATGTATTTTAGATTTATTTACGTTCTCCTAAGAATAAACATATAGAAACTACCACGGCCACAAAATGAGGGATCAGTCTATATATTGATTGTAATATGGAATTGATCCCCCATTTTATATCCGCATAATTGTGTATATATATATATGTATTAGTGAACATACATAATATCCAATGTACGTCGATAATACGACTTCAAAATTTTCACATCAAATCACTTATCAGAGCCAGATGTTGTGTGTGTGTGTGTGTGTGTGTAAAATATGATATAGAACCCTAACAAAGTTTTGAAGAAATATGACAAATAAAAAAACGTCTCATTGTAACTAGATTTGATTACATGTTTCACCTTTCTAGGCTTCATCAGATCAAAAAATGAAAGAAAAATATATGTGTGTGTATTCTTCAATAATAAATTATTAGAACTTTTTCTGCTAACTTGGTGTTTCTTTTGATGAAAAAAAGAAGGAAAAATGAGTGACTTTTAAAAAAGATATCAATATATATTCTGTATCTTTTCTTTATAATTCTTAGTTCATGTTGAAAGTTATACATTTATATCCCCCCCTTATAATTTCTTGTTTATTTATTAAATTCTGATTAGTTCTAAATCCACCTTCCCCAACCCAGCTATATGTTAATTATTATGACTTTTTATATCATTAAACTATTATTATCTAAAAAAGAAAAAAACATTCTATCTGAAAATATTTTCTGGCTTTAAATAACCTGCAAAGGGTTGATAAACCTTAGAAAATGAATGAATACTGATTAGCTACACATGTATGTATTTTAGATTAATTTACATTCTCCAAAATATAAATGTGTAGAAACTACTGTGGCCACAAAATGAGAGATCAGTTTATATATTGATTTTAATATGGAATTGATCCCCCACTTTATATCCACATAATTTCTTGTTTGTTTATCAGATTCTAATTATCTACAAATCCACCTATTCTCCCCTGTATATGGGTTAAATAGTAAGACTTGTATCACTAAAACCATTGTTACAATCTAAAAATATTTTCTGGCTTTAAATCACCTGCAAATGATTGATAAGCCATAAAAAAAGAATCAACATAAATTTTGGAAAAAAATCCATTTTCTGGATATTTTTTTTCATTTGCTCTTGTCACATAAATTAACTAGGTTGAGGGAATCTGAATTTTCTACATTTTTTTCTCAAGAAGTGACAATAAAAATGTTAAACACTATTGGATTATTATCAAGAATAATTTTGCAAATTTTAACAAATGTACCCACAAAAAGAGTGCATATTGTGGGGGATTCACTCCTATTATAGCAGAAGAAATTAGCTTTGTACTTATCGAGATAAAAGCAGACTTGATAGAATATAAAACATGCAGAAATGAAAGCATGGTAAATTGTATATTAATTTCATACAACTTATTTATATTTTTCTGTGTGTTGGTGTGTGCATTTTTAGGTTACAATTATTTTATGATACATGTGATAAAAGGGAGAATTTACTCCGTAGTATTACAAGCCATATTACAGAGAGAAGTTGGACACGTGTTGCTCATACCAGTATTTATGGTGATGAGATTAACTTTAACATCTTTTGGTGGGATGTCCATATTTCTGGCAGGAACAGTTTTTGTTGCATGCTGGGAGTATTTTATTATTTTAAATTTTTATTTAATTTATTTTATACAACATTTTTATGCTATTGTTTTATTTCATTTTATTTATAATTTTTATTATTATTATTATTTTATTTTTATTTATTTATAATAATATCCCTAAAGTATACAGTAATAATGGTGT